AGCAGATTTACCTATGTTAAAAAAACAGAACAAAAATGGGAATGTTTCAAAACAATTGTTCGCAAGCATACTGCAAAATATATTCCTTTAAGCAATACGTTTAAAAGGCTTAAAGTAAAACCCATGTGGCTCACATCCAATGTTTAAAAAGCCAAAAAGAATAAGAAAGTGGCGTTTAAAAAAAAATATATAAAAATGAACACTGTCGTCATTTGAAAGCTACAAAATATGTAAAAAGGAAATAAGGCTCGCAAAGATTCAAAACGAACGACAGGTTGCAAAAGAGTGCAAGATTAACCCCAAGAAATTATTTAAATTATATTGATCGTAAAAAAATCAGGTCTGAAGAGAAGAGAAAGGCTAGCAAAGAGAAGGCAAATCTATTATATACTTTTCTTCAGCTCCTTGCACACCAAGTCCATCATGGAGATAGCCGTGCCATAGCCGCTCATGAACCACAATGGAAGACTATTGATGTGGTCCAGAAACAGACAAAATTAAGGTGAACAATGTCCCTAGACCGGACATCTTACACCCATGTGTCCTCAAAGAATTGAGCCATGTAATTTCAAAGCCATTGTATCTAATTTTTAGAGACTCTCTAATGACTGGCTTGGTACCTATGGATTGGCGCAAGGCCAATGTGGTGCCTATATTTAAAAAGGGATCAAAGTCTTTACCGAGTAATTACAGACCTGTAAGTTTAACTTCAATAATTGGGAAGATACTTGAAAGTTTGATCACGGATCACATGCATTTGATCCTGCTTGAAAATATCATAAGCGATAGCCAGAACAGATTCACAAAAGACAGAAGTTGTCAAACGAACCTACTTTCTTTTTATGAAGAAGTGAGACTCCCCCAGGAGCTAGTTCTAGCTAGCTCAGTTAACTGTTTTGAACAAAATCTGGATGTATCCCTAAATGCATAGAATATTACCGGATATTGAGTTCTTATAAGTGTATTAAGCACCAGAGATTGTTGATCCAGGGAATATCCGATTGCCTCATGGGATCAGGAAGGATTTTTTTTCCCTGTTGGAGTAAATTGAACCAGCTTTATAGGTGTGTTTTTCTGCCTTCCTCTGGATCAACAGTGGGTAATTGTGGGCATAGCGTTCTGTTTAGGCTCTTCTTTTTTTCCCATATCTCTATAGGTTGAACTTGATGGACTTTTTTCAACCTGACTAACTATGTAACTATGAGTAACTGTTTGATTTACATCACTCTGATTTTTCCCCTCAGAGGCATGATGTTACTCTTTCCCTGGCTTATTACTAAGGAGTTGCTTTCAGCCCTCTCCTCTATGAAACCCAATAAAGCCCCTGGCCCAGATGACTTCACGGCCCAGTATTACAAAACATTCCATTCAAAACTGGGCAACAAAATTGTTCAATTTTACAATCTTTTCTTCAATCATGGAGGGACATCCTTGGGGTTTAATATATTGGTCATCCCTAAAGCAGGTAAAGATCTCTCCCAATGTATAAGTTATAGACCAATCCCCTTGCTGAACTCAGATTTAAAAATCTATACTAAGATTTTGTATAACAGACTCCTACCTTGCTTTACTGGTTTGATATACCTAGAGGAGGTAGGCTTTACTCCTGTGAGGGCAACTAAAGACAACACAATAAGAGTGTTAACTATTTCTCATGGAGCTACCTCCCAAGGGGAGACACCAAAATGGCATTTGATCGACTCAGCTGGAATTTCATGGGCATGCTCCTATATCATTTAGACCTGGGAGCAAATATGCTCTGCTGGATCAGGGTAATCTATTTACACCCAACTGCCTCGGTGCGTGCCAATGAATTCCTGTCTGACAGCTTTCCCTTGTGGAATAGCACGAGACAGTAGTGTCACCTTTCTCCTGTAATCTTCATACTTACTCTAAAACCCCTAATGCATGTTATTGGGACCAATCACAATACCTCTAGTTACCCAGCAAAATTGGAGCAACATAAAAGGTCACTCTTTTCTTATTCAACCACCCATGGACCCCGTATCCTGTTTTACATCTCAGTGGGAGAATAAGCTGGGAAAAACACTTTTGGACGACCAGAGGAGTTATATTATCTACTTTTCCACACAAAGCTTTAATTGCTAATAAGTTTCAAGAAGATGGACACAAGCTGCACTCCAGGTGGTATCTGTTTCCAAAGAGCCTGCATAATATGTTCCCCAACACTTCACCCTTGTGTTGGTGATGCAATCAGGTTGAGGGGGTCTCTGTTGTATATCTTTTGGTATTGCCCGGTTTACACCCGTTTTAGGATAAAATCCTTTGGCCATGATCCGTTTAAATACTTGTTACACCTAGAAGATATCCCCAGAGCGTGTTATTATCTTATCCACCTGCTCAATGCCGCCAAAACGTGCATTACACTTCTTTGGAAACAGCCCAGCCCCCCACAGTTTCAGTGTGGCTGAACAAAGTCGATGACAAGGAAGACCTGACATGGTTCTATTGACATTTATTTTTACTCCTGAATATAAGGATTGTTTGTCTGATCAGTTTGAAGGTTTACCTGTGCTCTTTGTCTTTCTGCCTGATGGGCTGTTGGCAAGATGATGCGGGGGTGCCCCCATTTCTGGTTCTCTCCTCTCCCCATCTCTCCCACTTCTCTGTATTTTCCACTTTTCACCTACCTTGGCCACCTTCTCCACTTCCCACTCACCTGGCCAACATCCCACCCTTGCCCTGTCCTTTCAAGGCTCCCACCCTCTTGATCCTTCCCCTTTTTTTTCTTCCCCTTTTTGTCCTTCCTTACCTTTTTACCCTACTCTTATTAGAAGTAGCATCTTCAGATCTCTACTAGCAGTTAATGCTATGGCTCACCTATTTTTTAGAGTGAGCAGAAGAACTTTAACTGTTTGTTTTCTCTTTTATTCTTGTATCCATGTTGATTGTTTGTTTTTGCACTCCCTACTTGTATTTGCAGAAAAGTAAAAAAATGTCCTATAAAAACATGAATAGTTATTAAGACTACACTGAGGTGGTCTCACCCACTGTGTATTGATGTGATCAGTCTTGTAACCATTTTTGGGTGGAAAAGAAATTAGTTACCACTGCATCCTGGATCCTCATTTTTCCTTTGTTCTATCGAGTGATAAAAACTACCTGGAATTTTTTTTCTTCCATACTCTTCCACAAAAGTAAAAGGCATCCTCCTCTTTCCCCCTTTACACACAGCAGGGAGTGTTCGAAAAACAAACAAAAGTACTTGCCTACTTATTATGTCTTCTGCCAACTAAATGCTCACCTAACAAATATGTTGTTAAATAGACATGGTCACCTTGAGGGTAAAGTGACTGCATCTCTGCAAAGGCATCCCCCAGCTACCCTACACTGGCCTTAAGTACGCTCTCACAGTTACCTTCAGCTTTACAGACAACCAGGACACCCAGCACTTTTTGGAATAGAGGAGCATGTGACCTGTGCCCCTGTTACTGTATTCGGGCCTAGTGATTGGGTGTGAGTCACATGACTGGTGGCGTGACATCACCACTCACCCAGGTTGCAGACACAGCTGAATAAGGCTACAGTTGTGTAGGAGTAGGTTCAGGGGAGTGCAAGTAAGGTAAGGTATGCCCTTTGCAGAGACACTGTCACTTTGACCTGCAATAGCATGGTAATAGTTTGTCTTTAATGCATCAACATGGGAAAGAAAGAGTGGGGCTTTTAAGGTACCAAACGACAAAACCAAGCAATTACAACATGATAAAACAAGGATTCTTTATTATACAAAGGTTAAAACTGTTTAAAAACATAATTGATATGTGCACATTGCAGAAAGGAAAAAACAAATTGATCTCCAAATGAGCTATTCCAGAATTATAATATGAGGCTAGGTGACCATAACATACAAAATTGATGTAACATCTTCTTGTACTCATACAGCACATAGATGCCTCTTCTTATATCAGGAATACTAATTCTCTCTCAATGCATTTTGCGCTCCAATCGCTTGCTCAGGAGATTGTTCCCAGAGAGTAGTAATCTGTGCCTGGCCAAGCCAGCAGAGCAAAAGCCCAAGATCGAGGTGTGCCTGTTTTGTGGCCTCGTGGTCACTGATGGCTCGGAGGTGATTGCGGACTGTGCTCTTTGTAGAGAAATGTGGTCCTGCACCTGCTGCTAGGCAGGTGCTGCTGCTTTTATATGAATAGCTGTTTAAACAATCAAACTAAGAACAGAATAATGCAAATGTACCTAGAATATAAGCTGTTTTAGCAGATTTTATTATGAAATGTTCGGGGTCTTTTGTGGTGAACTTTGGTCTGGTTTTAAAAATCTGCTCCATAAATTATGTATTCTTCAGAATGATTTTGCAAAATATTTTAATCATATATTCAGTGAAGGAATAAAACAATATTAAACAGTAGAACTGAGAAATAACAGTGCACTAAGATATAAATCATGTTGGTTTCTTTGTTCCTTCTATCTACAGAAAGAAAAGGCAACCTCCTATTTCTGGAAGTCAATCCATTTTAACATGCAAAACTTTGTCCCGAAAATTGTTTCTAAAATATTCAGACATAATTTGTTTTTAAATATTTTTTTACAGAATAACAAGTTAAATGTCCCTTTTAGCTACACCCCTGTCTAAATCTGTATACTTTTATGGACCTACATCTTTTAAAAATAATTACTCATGCATAGGAAATGTTGTTGATGCCTACATTAATCACTAAATGTATTTTATTTGTTTTCTATTTAGAGAAAAGACTAAATGATCAAAAAGGGATCTTATCAGGAAATATGGAAGCTGCCATTGCTGATATGTTTTTGAAAGTGTCTGCGCTTTGGCTGTCCTGTTGATCTGCATTTACTACTTGAGTAGTAAGTAGTGTAGTGAATTACTTTCCCACAACAGGGTTTTACATGACTGACCTGACCCATTAGTAGGAGGGATACTGAAATCTTCCAAAACCAATGGCAATGTCATTAAAGATTCATTTTTGAAATAATATTGGCTGAAATGTCTTCTTGTTATGGCCTTTTGTTCTTTAACACATACTGTATAACTGAGAGAAAGCAATGCCCTGAACAGGGGACTGGGTCAAATGCTTTCATGGCTTTCTCTGACCTTACCACAGTTTTCGGTCACCACCTCTTGTTTAGAAGGTTCTTTCCAAGACATGATCATCTGTTGGGCCAGATAATCACCCACAGGCCCATTTAATATCTCTACAGTGTTCTCATCAAACTGCATTTTTTTTTCTTCTTTTGACATGCTTGTATAATTTGTTTCTCTTGGGTCTTCTTTAATATGTTGCTGTGCCCTATTAGGCAAATTCACATCCAGTGATTTTCTCAGTGACTGTACTTTATTATGTTTCTGGCTACTTGGATCACCCCAGTATGCAGTGTCTTCACTCTCAGATGGTAACTGAAATACTCTTGAGTAGGCAGCGTTATGCAAGGACCTGGAGAAGACTGAGAACAGCAACCAAATGTTAAGACAGATTAGTTTTGCTATTTTAATTCAAATGTTTATACAAGATTATGCTTGTAACATGTGTAGTTCAATTTTAATTTAAAGTACAATAACAGTTTCTGTTGAGAAAAAGGTAATCTCTTTCATGTGGACTGTATTATTTGCATAGGGCTTCTAGTGAAATGTATTGCAGATTCTTATTGACCTATCTACTGAATAAACTGGTGTTTTCCTAAGATCTTTAATCAAATTTCTGAATGAGAGGGTCTGCCCTTATCCCTACATTAGTAATCTTGATGGTGTAACAAGAAAAAGAAGCATTATTGCAGGGGATGCTTGTGAGAAAATTGGGATAAGCACACAGACAGTAAATAGACATGTAAAGGCTCAAAGAATTATTGTTTTGTTTCGGATCGATGTATTTCTTTTTTGTTTGTTTTTTTTTGGATTTGGAATCCAAATTCGATTCGGTTTGTTATTCGTAATGTGGATTGATTAAAATTCATACCAGACCCTTTAGGGGTCCCCCCTAAAATCCCTTACTAGACCCTTCATCCGAGCAGCGGTCTGGCAGAGCAGTAAAGGGGGGGGGTGATCGGCAGCCCCCTTCTGCTCAATACCAGGCCACATGCCCTTATGTATTTTTTAAAATACTTTTTCAACATTCAGGGCCTCGAAGGTCCCTCAAAGAGTATAGTACCCTCATGAGTGCAGCTTCATATATGAACTGAATAAAATATTTTATATCGGTTTTCATTTATTGCCAGCCTGTCAGCCTTGGTAAGGGAAAATAAACAACAGATAACACAACACACTACTGAAGCTGTCACAATGCTGAAACGCAACGTATTAGTGGAGGGGCTAATGTGAAGTGGTCCTAAGGGAAAATCCATTAAATTAACCATTCAGTAATTCCCCTTCACTGTTCACATGCAATTACATATTTAAATGTAACATATGGCAACTGAGAAGAAAAGGCATTATTAGTTTATTAGTGTGTATGAGCAAAAATATGTCTCATTAAAAAAAATGCTGCAAATACAGAAAAATACCTTTTTCATCTTTCCAGAAATCCAGCAAGCTCCCAACTTCCTGTAACAAGCTGGCAATGCTGCACTGAAATCTCAACAAGGTTGTATCTCTGTGTGTTACAGATAGAGAGAGAGGTGTTCTGGTAGTGAGTGTTGTCACCCTAGGACAAAATGTGTGCCACTTGTGGGATCAAAAAGTAAAAATAAACGGGAAAACTCGAATGATGACATCATGTCTTATACATCACAGACTGGTAAGCTTGAATAGAACTTTTGTACTTGGATTTAGATAAACTATTTTATAGTCCCCTTAAATATCTGCCTATCTTTACCAGGTCTTTTCGAGGAGCAGTGACTATAGGTTTTAGAATGATGATGTATGTACTTAATAATTAGTTAAAAATACATAACAGAGTACTCCGTTGACCATAAAGTAATTTTACAGCAAAACTGGAATGCCACAAATAATAACTTACCTCTAACAGGAAGAAAATCATTGCCCTCTTGTATTTTGTTTTTTGCAAATTGATTCATAGTAGGAAAAATGAGAAGGGAAAAAGATAGCAAAAGGACCTGCAAAATACAAAAACATTAGTGTAAAAGGTAAAGCAAAAGTACATATGTAACAGAATAAAACACAGACATCCAAACTCTCCCGGACGTTCTGGGAGTCTCCCGCTATTAGATAGTGGCTCCCGGCCGCCTGGGAGAGCGACATTTTCTCCCAGAAAGATCTAGCAAAGTAAATCTTTCCCTGCTGTCTGTTTTTTTTAACTCTGATATCAGGGCCGCCGTCACAGTACAAAAAAAAAAGACAGCATAGAAATGAATGGTTTGATTGCTATTGGCTATTTGAATTTGCAATAGCCAATAGCAGACTAGCTATTGCACTCGCCCACTGCTGCTGTCAATCAGCAGAGGTGGACTTGAAGTTCTCCATCAGGTCCTCTCTCTGCTGATTGACAGCAGCAGTGGGTGGGTGCAATAGGCAGCTTGCTATTGCAAATTCAAATAGCGAATAGCAATCTAGCTATTAATTTCTTTGCCGTCTTCTTTTTTTCTTTTATTCTGACGGCAGCAGCTGTCTGAATACAAAAAAAAACCCCAGCAGATAGCACGGGAAGCATTAGCTTCTTTGCTATCTGCCATCATTTCATTTCTGAAATGAGAAGGGCACCTCCCTGAAATTACATTTCTCAGGTTGGGATCCCTGTAAACACCACCAAGGACTCTTGAACACTGTACATAGATTAATGCTTCAACATGATATCAACCAATTCATCAGACATCCCAACCTAAAAAAAAAATCATTTTAGGGAGGTGCCCTCTCCCCCACCCCCCCTATCCACGGGGAAGGAGGGGGATGGGGGAGAGGGCACCTCCTAAAATAATGGCAGATAGCAGAGCGTGGAAGCATTAGCTCCTCTGCTATCTGCTGTTTGCAGACTGTTTGTCTGCGGTCGCTGTCAGAATAAAACAAAAACAGATAGCAGGGGAATGAATAGCTAGGCTGCTATTGGCCATTTCAATGGAGAACTTCAGGTCCACCGCTGCTGATTGACAGCAGCAGTGAGTGGGTGCAAAAGCCAGCCTGCTATTGGCTATTGCAATTTGAAATGGCTAATAGCAGACTAGCTATTCCTGCTAACTGTTGATTTTTTTTCTATTCTGACAGCGGCTTGCTATCTTATAGCGGGAGACCACCGGAACGTCCAGGAGAGTTGGGATGTCTGATATATTCCAAACCTTATTAAATGTATTCATTTGCCACTAATTAAGGTTACATCCACATTTCCTAAGGCCTGGTTCACACCTAGGCGTTTTTGAGCAGTTGGAAAAGCCCTTTTTAAAATGCCCAACACAAGAAATCCCAGGTTTTTCAATGGCCCCTGTTCACTCCTGAGCAGCAAAACACCATCAGGAAAATGCCAAACGTCTGAAAAGGTACATGAGCTTCTTTGGGCAGTTAACAGCGTGTTTTTGCCCCATAGACTTTAATGGAAATGCCCGAAAACGCGCGTCAGAAGCATGTTGCAAATTTTGTGTGCGTTTGTACGCATGTTTGTCCATTGCCTGCAATGTTTTTTAAGCTGCCAGTCAAATCAGCAATGGTCAACGGACCAACAAGTAACTCCTTATAATAACATTTAGCTCCATTCAGTGGTAATCTGTATAATTTATATTCACATAGAAATTCATATATGGGTCCCCTTGATTCTACATGGACACAAATTCAATATACAGTTGAGTTAGTTTGTTTGCATCTTTGATACCTTTTTTTCTTTGAGGCCTTTTTCCGCCTCTCCTGCCCTGATTTGTCCGGCTCTTGTCCATCTTTCTCCACTCTTCTCACTGTCTGCCCTCTATCTCTCTCATTAATCTCCCCTTTTATTCCCCCCTCCCCTGGCTTTCCACTTGTCACTTTCTTCCTTCCCTCCCTGTGTCTGTTCTCTGTGAGCCTGTGCCCCTGCTGCATCTGCGGTATGGGTCCCTGAAATTCACCTTGCTCAATGTCAAGGGTTTACACATTCCCACCAGGGTCGAGACTCCTGGTGGATCTGAAAAAAGTCAGGTTTATTTAAAAAATCCTTTCATTGAAATAAAAAACACAACAATGGCTTTTGACAAGTCCTTTATTGTTAAAAAAAAAAAACTAAAACTAAACCAAAAAATGGATCCACTGACATAATCCTAGGGTCAATCACGACATCCAGCGTTGTCCATGATGATGACGACTCGACGAAATTTAATTTAAAATAAATATAAATAAAAAATTTTAAACGGCGTCCACCCACCCGTCCGCTCGCGACGAACTTCCGCCGCAGAATGACATTCTGACAGATGCCGGCAAAATATAAACAATTGGGTGGAGCTAGCGGTGACAGCTAGCTAGTTCCGCCCAACTGTTTACCTTTGTCCGGCATCTGACAGGACATAGCTGTGTGGGCTATGATTGGGCAAAGTCATCATTACTTTGCCCAATCATGCCTCTCACAGTGCACTGTTATCACAGTTGGCATTTTGTAATGTCAGGGTAGGGTTGGACACGGGAGATAACACATAATGAACTTACATACATATATTTGGAGAGATAGGATGGCTCCAGACATCAAGGAGAGAGATTGAATAGTTATATCAAAGAGGCTTTAGTTACCATCCAATCACTTTCTTGATATAGATATGATTTTGCGCTTTGGACCATTCATAAATTCTTCATGATTGTGAATACAAGGAACTAGTATAAAGACTGTGAGGTCAGACACGTGGGGATTGCTGCTAGAGGATGCACATAAGGGCAGCCAGAGAAAGAGAAAGAGACCAATTATGTACCCCCTAGCATTGGTAACATATATCCTATATGGTTAACTGGTCATATTATATTGTAGTTGTTTTGAATTGTAAAAATATTGTATTTTCTCTTCTATGGTACAGGGGCTCTGTTATTAGATAGTATTGTGATAGTTGCTGCTGTAATCTTTGCATGTGCCACTAAGATTGTTTCTATCATATTTGTGTAATATTTTCTTATCCTAAGCTGTGCATGAATTATTCTATGCACAATATACTTTTTAATTTTTAAACCTACAGTTTGTTACGCGTGTTTCTTAGCTGACCTTCCTCTATCAAACAGGAAAAAGTTGGTGTTGATTAATAATATGGGTATTATTTATTAATATTCAAATTATTATTTGGCTTTTTTCATCCCCATTTTCTAACACAATGAAAGCTAGAGTTAATGAAACATTTTCAAAACAAACTAAGTTAATACTAACTGCTACACAGGTGCTTGTCTGAGTTGCCTTTCCTGCAGAATGGGAGACCAACGCCTGAAGTTTCCTCAGTTGTTCAAGGAGGGACCTAGGCAGTTAGAAATTAGAAGATTATTTTTATAAATATCTTGAAATACATACTGTACCTTGCACTAGGTTTTCTCTTTACAACACTATGAAATGCAACATTTCTTGCAATGATATGTCTTTATTTTAAGGAAATATCAGTTCTGATTTCAGACCACATTAACTGTATTGTGCCCCCTCCAACACCTTGAGTAACAACCCAAGAGCCATGGGACTTGTGTAAAATGATACCTTGGTACAGAATCGTTTTTTATTGCCAGAAGTAAGGCCAGGTTCACGTGACCGTGCGGCAATCGTGCATGAAACCACGTGGATGGCCGTATTGTCTCGGAATCACACACCACCACTGATCGCGCTGGCGGTGCCATTATTTTCTAATGGCACCCCAGTCACCCCAGGCAGATTGCGCGGTTTCCCGATGCAATACCGCCTGTGCAATGTAACTGGTAGAAAGTCACTCGCACTCCAAATACTTTTGCAGTCAATCTTCTTTATTGACCATCAAAGTGTCTATATTCTCAGAAGCTGCACACAGCTCGCGCCGGTTTAAGTAGTAACCCGCACGCTCTGTTGCAGCTTCTGACAGCGTGGGAGATGGGACGTTGCGTTCGTCGGTGGATGACCAATCAGGAAGCCGGGCAGTACGTCGTCGTACCTCGTGTCACGGCTTCCTGATTGGTTAGGAAGCCGGGCTGCCTACCAACAAGTGAAGCTTGCTTCCCAGCCAATCAGGAAGCCGGGCAGTACGTCGTCGTACCTCGTGTCACGGCTTCCTGCTTGGTTAGGAAGCCGGGCTGCCTACCAACAAGTGAAGCTTGCTTCCCAGCCAATCAGGAAGCCGGGCAGTACGTCGTCGTACCTCGTGTCACGGCTTCCTGCTTGGTTAGGAAGCCGGGCTGCCTACCAACAAGTGAAGCTTGCTTCCCAGCCAATCAGGAAGCTGGGCAGCATGTCATGACCCGCTTCCTGATCCGGCCCCCAACAATGTCTGAGGGACAGTGAACTGGCCCCCCGTTTAAAAAGTTTGAGGACCCCTGCCTTAGAGTGTCATATATATATGTGTGTGTGTGTCACCTTGACGAAGGTATCCTGTGTGGTCCCGAAACGTTGACTGTTTTGATGCTATGTAAATAAATTTACAATGATTTCATCATTTTTGGAGTGCTGGTGACCCTTCTTACACTTGCTTCTGATTGATTTGGGGGCGGGCATGCAGTGGTGCACACTCTCCTAAAAGGGGATGCAGCTGCGGGGCCACACAACATTGGAATTATTTTTGAGCTTAGGGAGAATTGACTGAGCGGGCAGAATGCCTTTCGTTTTTTCAACTACAACAGTGAAAGAAAGTCATGGAGCACAAGGAAGAAAGGGAATTGTGCGGAGGGAAAGCATGACGGGGAGAAGGGGACATAGGCAGATGAGATGGTTAATGGAAAAAAAGAAAAAAGGAATGGAAACAAGGAAGGAGGGGTCTCTTACCTGATTGGAGACCAGTGGGAGAGGGTGGGATTTCCAAGGGTGGGGATCCTGGGCGCAGTCAGGAAGAGGCCAGTTTGCGGAATCTTTCACCAGGAGAAGGTAATTCTCCCTGCTTGCTTTACTGCCAGAATGAGGGGTTTGGAGGAGCTCCTGGCCCGGGTGCGGGAGGCCGCGGCGTCCCGTGGCGCTTCCTGGATCCAAGCCCAAATGGCATCGGTGCTGGCTGGTGATCCATCTTGCTCCTGTGGACCCCCCTCGGCATGCTCGGCGGTCAAGGCCGCCGGAGTGCCTCAGCCCTGAGGTGGCGGTGCAGGCTCAGCGCCTTTCTGGGAGCCCCAGCAGGGACCCACCGGGTCCGCCAGCAAAACAGACTACTGCTTCCGCTGCCGGGCGGCGCGGGAGGAATCCCCGTCTGCGGCGGAGCCCGCCGGAAGG